ACTCACTTTGTAGCCCAGACTGGCCTCAAACTCCCAGTGATCCTCCCACCTCAGCCTCCTGAGTGCTGGGATTACAGGTGAGCACCACCACACCCCGCTTAAAGAGTTGTAGGAAGAAGAATTGGAAAGAGTGACAAAGGAGTAAAAGTTAAGATTGAAGGGGAAAAATCTTAGTACATCCTGAAATGAATGTTGAATACTTGTTATTTACCTAATTCCTTACCAGTCTACAGAATTAGGGCTATCGCTTTCCCTAAAGTGCCAGTAAAGCAGTGAGCTGAACCAGTTTGCTGTTGGTTAGTGATGCTGTTCACTGCTAAACTTGAACTCTTATCTCTTAAGTCTCATGGCCACAGCAATCCATCCCTAATACCTCGTCTTGTTGAAGGTAAAGCTGCACGTCTTACTCATTTTTCCAGTAGAGTCTCAAAGAGATAAGTGGGCCGGTGATGGAGGGAAGTCTGCAATTCCCAGGTGTATAAATCTGAGGAGAGTAGGCCTCGCCCATCCGAAACAGAGCAAGTGATCAGTGTTCCTGTTATTTAGCTGGCACCATCAATGGAGTGAGTTAACACAACTACAGTGTCGCTTGCAAAATGAAGGCGTGTGAGGTTCATTTTTGTAGGTGCAGTGACAGGAAGGGGAGAGGTTTGTCTGGATCTTTTCTCTCTGCCCAAGTGTTTCCCCTGGGAGTGTAAAGCATTTCCACTATAATCAAGTCATGGAGTGGCAGGAGCAGAGAGGCTTAAGGGATCTGAAACTCCTACCTGCACCCAGCACATTACACCAGCATCTGCATCCCAGGTCAGTGTTCTGCAGGGCAAACACACAGCTGATTGCACATGCTCACTTCCAGCCACTTCCAGAGTTAGTTTAAAAGTAGACATTTTTCAATATATTAACCTTTAGTTCAGTTATTCCTGGAATCTGTTTGTCCAGAGGAAATGTGTCTTCTCAACCCACATGTATAAAACTTCTGTTGTGTCCAGTGATAGATTTCTTTGCCTTATTTGGAATCTATAAGATTGGATTTCTAGCCTAAAAGAGGATTGCTATTAGAGGAGAGGACCTTCTATGCACATTTCAACTTTTACCAAGAAATTCAGAAGTCTGTATGATATGCATTAATAACACATTATCAATGAGAATCATAAATAAGAGAGCTGAGATGCATTTTACCAGGAGCCACTGGGTTAATATTTAATGCAATATATCATAATATTTACAACTTATGTGATAACGCTCAATGTTTAGGAAAACCTTTTAAAAAGCTTAGTATCCACACCTTACATTCATATAATTGAATCCCTAGAGTTTAAAATGTGTGTGTAGTACAGCAGACATAGGAAAGTGCTCTCTGCTGGCACTGTGAAGTGCTTAATATGCAGTGAAGATTTATAGAAATGTTATACAAGGCACAGGTGGGGCTGAGTACTTCTTGCCTGATGGCTTTGCTACTAGTGTACTATTTACTGTTTTTCTCATCTGCCCATTAACTAAGGAAGCTCAAAGCAAACCTGCCCTTTTGTTTACTTTTCAAAGGGTCAGTATTTCTCGGTGCCTCTTGGACACTACACATAATGCTGCAAGATGCACCACAGAAGCCACCAGTAAGCAGCATCATTCGAGGAGACAGAGTGAGCCCTTTCACTCAAGAATGGAAATGGCAGAGGACCAGCTGGGACCCTTTGTTCCTCAGAAGAAGTTGGAGTCCACTGGGTTTCTCATTTTTCAAACCACAAGGTTTTAAAGTTGAATGAAAAGGTGGATTTAAAAAACTCCTGCTAAGTGTGAATAGTAGCTTATCTCAGGGAGAAATACCAAATATTTAACAGATTTAATGAAATCCAGTGGTTTTGAAGAATTAAACACCTCCTCTAATGTAGAAACCTGGAAGCGACTTTTGGCAGCTTTTGGGCTCTACTGCTAAGTCAGTAACTCAGATGTATACAGAACTTGAAATTTACCAGTGATAGCAATTCAATACAACAGTAATAATTCTGTGTTCAGCTGTAGTAACTGAATACCCCAAATCAAGCCCACTCTCTCTTCAGTATGTTTTTCTAGTTTTATGGTCACAGAATAATAGCTCAGGAAGCCAAAATATGACTAGAAGCCTGACCCTGTGTGACATGCATGTGTCTGCGTGTGTTTGTTTATAAGCACTATGACAAGTAGGCCCAAGTCGTGAGCTTACTTTCCAAGACAGCAAGTCTGACTTTATTCCTTAGTTACCCACCTCACAGGTTGGAGCTAGGCCAGACGTCCAGCCAGCCAGGCAGGGTAGGAGAACAAGGAGACATAAATTCACTGTAGACCAAAGATGTCCAAGGACCTATTGTACTGTTTTATTCATAGTAGCTGAGTGGTAGTATTTTTACTTTGAATGTAAGTACATTTTCTGATGATACAGCACACATCTTTTTTTTCCTCCCTGTAAATCCAGTCTGGTTGTAACATCTACCCTTTTGAACTGAGCAGTATTTTATTTCTCTCAAATCTGAACAAAGTCTTTATCAGCACATCATATTTTCAATTTAAAACAACTGAAAAACTTCAGTGCCCCTTGGAGGTTTACATGCCTCATTTAAGATTCAGGTGACATTCGAGGACAGTCATGTCACATCTAATAAAAAATGTTTATTAGTGCTGGAGAAGAGTCCAGGAATTCAAAGTAGTACTTGTTTTACCTTGGAGAATATTTCAGTTCAAGGTCTCCCCTGGAAAGCCATCGCTCTGTCCGTATTTGCCTTTACTGTAGATCAGAGTGTACAAGGAGCAGGGAATTGGAAGACAGTAGTAGCCCCTACAGGGATCAAGCCACAGTATTCTTGGAATTGAGTAAGAGCGAATTCCTGTATCTATTAGAGGTTAACTTTAAGTATCTAGGAAACCAGTTTCAAATGTATTTATGTGTTAAGAGAAAAGTGTGTACCTCATGAGTGAGAGTAAAATCCGTGATTATCATTACTTGATGCTGAACTATTTGCTTCCCTGTGACTGGTCACAGCTGTGACTGGCACAGCGCTGTTTGATATTCCAGTGAGAATTCACCAGACAGTAGGACAAAGCCCTCTTGACTTTAGAGGAAGCAGCTCTGGTTTAATCTTGACTCAGTGACCTAAGTGGCTGTTTGACTTTAATCTCTCTGAGCGTCAGTTTCCTGTCAGGTGATAATTCCTCTCAGGCCTTGGTGACTAAGGAAGGTAACAATTCCAGTGCACCTAGGCAGCTGGCATATGAGCTTGTTCCCCGAGGATGGGTCATTGCTGTTTTTTGACTTGGTCTCATGCTGTCTCGTGGGTGTATTGATGGTGATTACTTTTGGTCTTTTGGTCAGGCTCTTGTTTCCCCCTCTAAAGGGATTAGTCTTGAAAAAAGCAGCAGCCATTTTGGTGGTTGTCACCCTTTGGTACAAGTCATCTCTTAAGACTCTTCAGACCAGAATGTGAAGAATCTCATCTTCATCCTTAGGAGACACTCCACGAAAGTGAACAGAAAAGCAAAAGTGGTAATCGGCTGGGTGTGGTAGAGGTGGACTCAGTTTTAGTCTCTGTTCTGTGACCTGCTTCCCTTTATTCCGCTGAGTGCCTCTCTTACAGCACGCAGGACTCCTTGGTGAAATTAGTAATCCCATCTGGGTAAATTAAACTCTAGTTGTTTCTTGCCATGCCATTGTGTTTCTGTCATAAAACATTAGAGGCCATGAAGGCCAGCCTGGAAAGTAAAGGAATGCACAGCTGACACAGGTGGATCATTTGAATCTCAAGCTCTCACTTGGTTTTTTTAACAGCCACTATTACCTAGATTTTTCATTTCCCTGCAAGGATGCTCATAGAATGTTGCCATCTCATTTTTTATTTGGAAGGTGGGGAAAAGATTCCCCTTTTCTTTTGTTTTTCCTCTTTAAGTAGTAGTTAAACTCAGTGTAGGAGGTCTCTGCTAGCTGTTGTTTGAAAGCTGTTATTTGGGTGCAGAACCCTTCTAGGTGAAATTTCTTATTTACTTGAGACACTGATTTTCATTTTCTCCACAGAAGGTGATTTCAATCATGCTTATTTGGTGTGTGATTTTGTTTTACTTTCTGTCTTTTTAAAAAAATGTAATTTAGACATTGACTTGATTCTCTGCAAGTAGAAGAAAGAAACAAAAGTAGATTTAAAAATATTTTGATTTCACATGCAGGATGCATGTATACATTTTTGACATTAGTATGTGTACTCATGTTTATTGATATCTTATTAGAGAAAAATCTGTAATTAAGAAAAATTACTAAATAGAAAACTTTGGAAATGCAGATTTAGTCATATGTCTAGTTTACTTTATAAACAAAATCTTGAGTATTTAAGGCTTACATCCTTCCTTTCATTTTCATCTTCACAGAAGTTGGACAGGTTATAAGACTATAAAATGTGGGGCTGGGGATTTAGCTAGCGGCATAAGCGCCTGCCTTGCAAGCAGGCAGTCGTGAGTTCGATCCCTGATACCGATAAAAATGAAAAAGACAAAAAAAAAAAAAAAGACTATAAAATGTATAGGCCACACTTGTCAGATGGAGCAGCAGTGAACTAGGAGGAAAATGCACTCAATTTTAATTATATGCCAGATAACAGTTACCTGGGCTTGGAATTTCACTTCATGGGCTGCAGCTTCCTTCCATGGAAAGTGATGCTCATTCTTCCGCTTTCCCAGGTGTATTCAACTCTAAAACTCATATGTTTTATGCTAAAGATCTACTGTACAGATGAATGTAATTATAGATAATTCTCTATCTGAAATTTCCTGCATTTCTTCAAGCCACAGATGAAGACATGCATGAATTTTATTAGCTCCCCCAGCCTTTGGAGGAAAAGATTTCTGAAAATGTATTGATTTTTTTTTTTTTTTTTTTTTCCTTCTCAGCTTGAATTTGCTAAACATTTCCCAGCACTGGGCTGGGCAGTATGAGTAGGTAAAAACGTGGAAGTATTTCTTGATGCAGTTAATAGCTGGAAAACCTTGAAAACAATGACAAAGTAAAAAATGGACACAACTGTGTTACAAAATATAATAACACTTATGTTTATTAAGCACTTCGTATTGCTAGCACAATACTCATGTAATCCTCATTCCTAACCCCATAAGATAAATGGTGTCATCTCCTCAATTGTACAGAGAAAACTGAGGCACCAAGACGGGTGGAAGAATTATCCCAAGTTACTGTTCAACACAGTGGTTTAGAGAAGAGATTTTAGAGTTCCTGGGGCTCCCCTGGAGTAAGTCAGTTTAAATATTGAGAAAAAGTAGGAGAGTAGTCTAAGGGTAAGGGGATTGCATCTGACTTTCTAGGCAAGATTTTGATTAAAAAGCAAATCACTTTTCCCCCTTGGCAACTGGCATTTTTAAAATGACATTTATTGTAAATTTATGATTGTGTGCTTTGGAGGGAAGAGTCCCAAAAAAGGACTGGAACTGGGTTAAGTGTTGAGAATTGCACGTCTGAGGTGATTGTCAGTGGAACTGAGGGAGTGTGCTATGTGTCCTCTAGGCAACTTTCCCCCTCGCCTCGCAGAGGGAACGTTCTCCTTCCGCATTGTGGCCTGGAGTCCAGCACTCCAGTGGGCAGAGTCCTTTACCTGTCGTCATGGAGGGTCTTGGGGACATGCCACTGGTCGTCCTTGTGACAGGTGCTGCCAAACCTGTGCATATATAGGCTCCATGGCAGTAAGTCAGGAAGTGAGAGGCATGGGGGTACCAGCCTGGCTGTCATCTGAGCAGGGGCTTGCAAACATTGTTAGGATTGACCTCTCCAGAAAAAAAGAAAAGAAAAGAAAAGCCTTCCTGCCTTGGGTGCCTATATCCTTCCTGAACTGCTGCTTGTGCAAGCAGAACTCCGTTTCTCCTCCCATCCTGCCCCTCAGCTGCTGAGAGAGAGAGCTGCCCAGAGGCCTCCCACTGCAACCCTCTGCTGGTGAGTTCCTGGGAGGCAGTAGCCCACGGGCTGCAGGAGATGGAGCAGCTCCCAGTCCTCCTCGATTAGGGTATGTCAGGGTTGTCAGGGCAACTGTTCACGGGGGCAGCGTGTTGTCTTTTCCCTTCTCTGCTGTGCCCTGGAATATTTTACTGTGCAGAGGAGGCAGAAGATTGGGAACAGTGCTGCAGCAGGAAGGAGAAGCTGGGATCTGATTGCGCAGGTTAGGCAGTAGAGGGAGGCATCTGAACCCGCCTGACGGTAATCATAGGGCTTTGCTGGAAGGGGTGTGTGTGTGTGTGCGTGCATGCAAGTGTGAGTGAATGTCCTTACCCGTGTGAGTACCTGGGGGGAGTACGTGGCCGGGGACAGCTGCTAGATGAGGGGGAACAGCAGGGCCTCAGTTACCAAGTGGCTGGTAGTATCTGTCAGCTGTTTGCAGTGTTTACCCATAGGAGATCTATTACAAGTGCTCAAATGAACCGGCAGCTTCCTGGGAGCTGCAATTACATAAGCATATATTTTTAATATAATAATAATTAAAAAACAAGTAGCAGCAGCAGTATGCCTGGATCAGCTACAGCTCTCCGACAAGAGAGACTGAAGAAGACCAATGCAAGGCCAATTCCCCTTGGTTTATTCACCATTAATGAGGAAGATGAACAGCCAAAGAATGGAAATTCCAGAAGACCAAAAGGTATGCATTAGCTTTACTCTTTCTTTGGTTGGAGCCAGGTCCATCCCTGTTTCCCACCATGTTTATGTCAATACTTTACAAACTGCTCATAGTGCCTGCTCTGGGAAGTGCTGGTGACCTAACACAGCTTGCTGGTGGTGTTTACACACCCTGGGGAGCTGTGTGTGCCAGAAATGGGAATCACGTTTGCAGATTTTGTAAACTCTAGGTCAGCTTCCTTTGACCCTAGATGCTTTTGTGACCCAGAGGTCTTTAATGTTCACATGCTCACTTAAAACAGTAGCTGTGAATGTGTCCTCATGGTGTTATCAAGGTTTACATAAATACCTCCACACCTTGCTTCCGGTGCCTCAGGCAATTTCTGTTTACTTTAGTGAAGTGGGTTTTTCCTTAAAAGAGGCTGGTTAGAGAGAGTGTGACTTTAAGACTGCTGCTTTTTCAGGGACATTGGTTGAGGATGTTGCTGGCTTTTCTGTACTAAAACGTTAATAGTGAAGGGGAGGAAACCAAACCTTGAGAAGGACTGCAGAGCTGGGGGGCCAGGAGCTGACAGCAAGGTTTCATGACTTCTGATATGAACTCTGCCACTGGGCACTTGGATAGTGGATGAAATGTACTGGGTACAGAAAATAGATGTTTGAGTTGTGTGTTGTTTGCTTAAGAAGAAACATAGCAGCAGCTGGCCGAGCTTCTTGCGTCCTGTGTACAGCATCGGCTGTAGCATCATCTCAGAGCCACTCTCCCAGGCTATAATTATCAGTGAGAGATGCAACCTCATGCATTTTTGAAGAGCTTTAAGGCTTACATTTTAAGTTTTCTAACATTCTGGTTCTTGCAGCCCTCTTGGCAAAAATGTACATGCTCTTCTTAAGCACATGGATTATCAGTTTGGTTGTTTTTATGTACTGATTAAATTTTAGCTTGCATTCAGATTGTTCTGTCGCTGAAATACCAAGTTTTCCTTAGTGTGATACAAGATAGCAAGTGCTTTAGCAATGGCAGAATGAATATTTAAATACAATCCAGTGTTCTTAGATTGTTGGTTTTCTTTTTCCTGGTTCTTTAGTGAGTCATAGTTTGCTTTTATTGAATATAATTGAAACTGCACTTTTAATCCAAAAGTGTGTTTTTACTTACTTTTTCAAAGACTACGCATGAGGACGTTCTAATAAATAGCATCGAACAGCTGTAGTTGATTTTTGTGTCCTGTCAGGCATGGCTTCTGTCTGAGGACCAAATGACCTCTGAAATCCAGTGGTGCTACAATGGCAGGTGACTTATGTGCTACTTTTATTTGCCTATAAATTAAATAATTGAACCAGAGTGTGTTGCTCTTGATGAGATGTCAGTACTTTAAATTATCAGTAGCAAATCATTCATTCTCTGAGAAGTAAGTAACTTTTAAAATTAATACAGATTTCTTGAATTGTTTCCATAGGGTATTGTTGGTAACATTCTTGATTTGTGGCTCCTTCCTAGGGTGTCCTGTAATTTCGGATAGCCATTCATTTTATTGGTAGTAATTTTCTTGAAGCCCTTTTCTCACATCCTGTGGGGATTTGTTGTTTTTCGGTTACCTTTTAATATTTTAAAGGGTAAGAGGGAGACAGTGGGTACCTCTAAAAATCTATTTGTTTTTGGCAGTTTATATAGCTGAGTCTTAAATCAAGGAGTTTGAGATCCCCTACCGTGTTTTCCTTTCTACTCCTGCTTACACCAAAAACAAAACAAAAACAAAAAAGCAACAGCAAAGATTGAGGGCGGGAGCGGGGTGGGTGGATGGGGTTCTTGCTAATAAAGATATCTAGACTTGCATTATATCCCGAAATGTGTCAAATTTATGATACATTTGACAAAATAGGCAGATAAACCGCCCTGGGTATCTCTGTACTTGATGAATAAAACTATTTGGCTTTGATTCTGAATTTCTCACCCAGCCTATCTGGGCAGCAGGAGCATTCATTCACTCTCTAGTCCTCCTGTGTCTAATAGAAAACTGATGGGTCTGTTCTGGGTCTGCCTTGTCCAGCGTGCCTGCTGTTAGCCGCATGTAGCAACAGAGCATGAGAAATATGGCTATTACAAATGAAGAGGCAATTTTTTCATTTGTAGTTACCTTATTAGCACAGTTCTAGTCTGCAGGGTGTGACCTTGTGAATCTGTGTCCTGTCTGCTTTGTCCGTTCTTACTGCTTCCTGGTTACAGGCATGGTCGGGTCTGTGGATCAGATGGCTTCTGTGCGGCAAGGGAGCGCAGTAGCTCACATTTATAGATCATTTTGTTTTTCCTTTGCCACTTAATTCTTACTGCACTCTCCTGAATACTATTCCGTACCTGTCACTAGTTGCCCATATCATCTTTTGCAATTTTTAATGGGCTCATGTTTACTGAATTGTTATTTCCAGAGCATCATGGTGAGATGACGTGCAGATTATCTGTTATGTATGACTCTTAAGATAATCTGTTTTCTTTTCTACCTACTCCATGACCGAGTCACCAATGACACCTAAACCTGATGTCGCAGTCTGGTTTGTATGCTTGGTATCCCTATCTCCTCCTCCTCCCCTTCTTCCTTTTCCCCCTCCTCTCCCACCTCCCTCTCCTCTTCTTTTTGTTTCTTCTTTCTCTTCTCCTCCTTCTCTTTCTGTCATTACCAATAATAAAGAAGCTTGGTAGCTAAAGTCAGTAAGCTAAGTGTTTCTGTCAAGGATTACTCTAGCTTATTGATTGATGCGTTTTTACGAGTACCCATACTGAGGACTTACCATTGTCATCCACCTAGTGGTTACCACATGGTGGAGTGAGACAGGAGTGTATGATAGTAGACTAGATTAACTCCTGAAAGAATGATTATTTGCCTGTGTAATCACCTGTGTAATCAATTGGAATGTAGATGTTTGATGTCCCTTGCTATTTTTAATATGTGACATGTAAATACTAATTGGGAGTGAGCCGGGCTTAGGCTTCTGCTGCTCTTATGCACTGGAATGCCACCTTCAGGCCTCCTGGGCAAGATTGTTTAGGTACCGCAGTAACCAAATGCCTTTGGGTAAATTTCAAAGTGAACCTGCCTATGAATTTTGTGGAGCTCAATGTGATTATTAAGACATTTCCCCCCTAAAATGGCATTGATTAGGTGCTCACTGTGGAGCAGATGACATTTGTCTGGGAGTTTCAGAAGTGCTGCCATGCGAAGATAATTGACATGGTTTTCCCTGTCAGATGTATTAAGTATGGGGGGGGGGGGAGCGGGGGATGACAGTATGTAAGAGCGAAAATCAAAATGAGGGGAAGGGGAAAGAGACGGTGAGAGTGGCACAAATGTTGAATGTATGCCAATTGCAAAGCCCAGTTTTCAAATTGGAGCAGAAAGATTAAAGAACACAGGCTCCTGTCCTGTTCAATGCCATGTATCTAGCTGAGGTGGAAGCTCAAGGGGGACTCAGAGCAGGAACTTGTGATGCGGGATGGAGTGGCTGATACCTGGCTGCATCGCCTGCCTCTAGGAACTCCTCAATAGTCCTGTTTCATCAGGAGCAGGAGTCTCAACTGGGAATCTTGTGAACCTTATTTGGTGTATGGGTGTATTAATTTGTCGCTTGTAGGAGTTTTGTTTCTGTTATTGGGAACAGAGAACTATCTTGTAATAATTTGAATTTCAGCTTCTCTTGAAAAACTGGAAAATGTCCCTCATGGCAGTGGCCAGCAGCTGCCCCTGCAGAGCATGCATGCCCGCTCCGGTACCCACTGCTAGCGTGTGCATCACCTGCCTGCCGCAGTTGTCTGTGCTCATTTGCATCTGTAACACCTGACCCGGAGACGAGGTCTGAGTTCTGGCGTGGCTGTAGACTATTCATCATCTGCCTCTTTGTCTCCTTTCCTCCCTCCCTGAGCTGTGCTGTGGCAACACCACAATGCTTGCATCTCACTGCTCTCGTGTTCTTGCCTGGTTCTGTACTTCTCGTGGTTTTCCACCCTTTCCTCCTCCCTTGCACAGTTCTTACTATGAGTTGGCATCAGAATGGTGTCCCTTCTCGCACAATTGCTGGGGTGTCATCGCTAGAAGATAGCCCTCTCTTGTGGCCTCACCTCCTGACACAGAAAGTAACCCTGTCACTTTTGTTCTGACATTTGTCTCTGTGTACAGAGTTTGTGCACCTGCTGGCTCTTCTGTAGACAGTCCAAGACTCTTCCTTTTCAAACGCTATATAATAAGGAGAGCACACAGCATTACAAAGCTGTTTGATAGCCTGGGGATATAGGCCCATGCCTTAATCCCAGCTGCTCAGGAGACTGAGGCAGGAAGATCATAAGGTTGAGGCCAGGCTGGGTAACTCAGCGAGACTCTTTGCAAAATAGAAAATAACAACAAAAAAATAAAAAAGGTGTTATGGCCTCTAAAGATCTAACACAGAAATTCTAAGAAATATTGATAGCATTAGTATTATCCTTCCAAGGTAGTTACTTGGAAAGAGACAGTACTGTGTCTGATACATTAATCCTATCATTTTCTACCAGACTGCATTTAATAGCAGATTAGGGATTTTACTCTGTTTTCTATCATGCTGTTGATCATTTTTCTTTGGTGGAAAAATGAAGATGTATACTTAACAAGGCAGTGGTAATTGACTACTTTGTTAATACAAAGGTTAATAATGCTTTCTGACTCCTTTGTTAGCTCTTCACAGATTAAACTGTAATAAAACACTATTTCGCCTTGAAATCAAGCATAGTTGTGCTGGGGAACTGTGCTTCCCTCCCACCCCTTGTTGTTACAGTGTGTATTTATGGGGCCTGCAGTGACCATTTTTCTTCTAACTTATCTGCCATAAGGTAGAATTTCTGCCAGTTGAGGTTTTGAAACGAAATATAATCTGCATTTACTGGGTGTTGTCCTGTCAGACAGGCAACGCTCTAGCAACTGTAAATCTGCTTTGTAAGTCACGAGTCTTTGTTCCCAAAGAGGAGTCTGATGACAAGAAGTGTGAATGCCCCTCTGG